AAGCTTGAAAGTATTGTATTTGTCGGTATCAATAAACTGTTACTACCAGTATAGAACTTTTTTACATTCTTAGGTTCTTCCTTAAATGTTAAAGGCTCTGTATTGCGGGGACAATCATAATTATGATAAAATTTTCGCTAAAAGTCCTTCACTCTGCAACTTGGAAAAATAGCCTTTGCTATTTTGCACCAAACTACAAACCTAATGGTCCAATAGACTGATTTTTTTAGAAGCACATTTTCACTGCGCTGGCCGATGGTGTAATATAAATCAGTGCTGATATGGATCAAATCAGTGGCGTTAGTGTATGTGAGGTATGAAAAGAAAACATTATAAGAACTCAACTGAAATATAAATAAAATTCTTCTTTATTGTTGCTTTAAAAGGCTTTGTAAACTAGATGTATACATAGGCGAGATGTTAGGAACACATCCACTTTATACCCCAAGTCAAAATCTTGACATTGCATCATCTTAGGTGACCTTGACCTCTGACCTTGTTCATGTGCATGACACGAAGTCTCATGACGAACATTTGTGACTAAAAAAACTCAATTCATGTTATTTAAAAATTCCTCCATGCACGAAGAAGTTATGGTATGGACAAGTTTAGATGAGTAGTAATGAACAACTTATGCACTAAATCTTCAGACAGTTAGACGAACACACACACAAACACTGAACAGTCATTCTGACAAGTATGTCAAGCTCAATGCAAGCGAGCTTGACAAAATCCTCTGACCCCTAAGCATAATACTTCAAAGCATAAGCAAGATACAGCAATAACAAACAAATTTTAATATATTTTTTTTACCTTTGACCTCGTGTGACCTTGACATTAACCTTCAGTTTGCCAACATGAAGAACATTTTAGCTAACTTAAATTAAAATCCATCCATGTATATAGATGTTGTACTTGCAAATGAATGTTTTCTTTTGCTATTTGACCTTTGAACTCTAAGTGAGACCTTAATCTTTGCCAAAGACACCCCGAGATTTTGGCGCAACACTTCCCCTAACTCTGGAGAATATTGGTTGCAAGTTATATTAAAATCACTCCATGCATGTAGAATGTAAGCTCCGGACACGGATTTTGCGCTGACCCCTCAAGTGTGACGTTGACCTTTGAGTGGTGGACCTGGGCTTTGCGTGCTACACACCACCCCATGGTTAACTTTTGTACAAACTTATTTTGTAATTCTTCATTAATGGGCAACATATAGACTGGACAAATCCGAACAGATGCACATACACCAAACTCTACGCCAAAAGTGACTACTACGTCGACATCACACAAGTTGGCTTCACAAAAAAGTAAAGTTTTAAATTTTCATTAGCATATAATTCACATTAAATTAAATTTGGTAAGAGAACGCTTGGGCTAACAGTCTGAAGAATTAGTGCATAGGTTGTTCATCACTAATAGACGATCTCTATTCACAGTGTTTCCTACTTATAAAACAGACTCCAAAAAAAGGCCTCTTCCCAATTGAAATTTTCTTTAAAATCATGCTTTTTTTTTACTTCCCAAATCAGCAGTTTTAGTGATATTTTTTCCCAAAATCAAGAGGCTAAGGCCTCTTCCCAATTAAGTGAGAAAAATCACTGCTATTGATTTTGAGGTTAAAATACAAGGTTACATGGCCTTCGCCACAAAAAGCTTGTCTGACCAGTAACAACAAGAACAATTTGGCCAACAGTCCCAAGATATGGTGTGGAAGTTGGGCATGAGTAGATGACCGTTATTGAATGAGGTCAAAAGCATGGTCACCATGGCCGTGACCACCTAAACTGTTGAAAGAATGCTTTGAGCTACAGTCCTTAGCATTGGTGGGTAGAGTGGTAATGCCAAGATGAATCTTAGTGATTTTGAGGTAAGAAGACAAGGTCACCATGGCTGTGAACAGACCAATATTAAACTTGAGAATTCTTCAGCCTGAAATATAAAGATCTTGTTTAGTTCAGATGATCCTATTTATAATTGAGCCGTGTCACGACAAAACCAACATAGTGCGTTTGCGACCAGCATGGATCCAGACCAGCCTGCGCATCCGCGCAGTCTGATCAGGATCCATGCTGTTCGCTTACAAACCCTATAACAATTAAAGAAACTGATAGCGAACAGCATGGATCCTGATCAGACTGCGCGGATGCGCAGGCTGGTCTGGATCCATGCTGGTCGCAAACCCATTATGTTGGTTTTGTCGTGACACGGCTCAATTAATTTTGAGGACAGTAGGTTAAGGTCGTCATGGCTTTTACCACTCAAAGCTTGTCTGACCAATAACCTAATAAGTCTTTGGCCTACAGTCCTAAAATTGGTGTAAAGGTTGGTCATAACTGTTGATTTTGAAATTATAATTTCAAACATGTTCAAATGGCCAATAAGCTAATTACTGATTAACAACAAGTTGAAAACAAGAACCGGTTGAACCGGGTGATGCTCCCCGAGAAGGTTCTGGACACAGGAAAGTATAAAAAAAATGAACAAAGGGCTATAACTCCAAAATTACACCAGGCTTTGTTTAGGTTCTTGAAGCGTTGCAGTTCTATCCAATTATATCTAGCTACCTACAAAGTTTCATGTTGATATCTCTAATAGTTTTAAAGTAATGTCCAGGACAAAAGTCAAAAAGTAAAAATAAACAAAGGGCAATTACTTCAAAATAAGGTAAGGCAGAGTAATGATTCTTAAGCACTGCACTTCCACCCAATGAGACCTATCTATCTACAAAGTTTCATGTTGATATCTCTTATAATTTTAGAATAATGTCCCAGACAAAGTTCAAAGTGTCAAAATGAACAAAGGGCAATAACTACAAAAGAAGGCAAGACAGTGTTACAGTTCTTGTGCACTGCAAACTTACTCAATGAGATCTATCTACCTACAAAGTTTCATGTTGATATCTCTTATACATTAAGAAATATGTCCCGGACAAAGTTCAGTGTAAAAAATAAACAAAGGGGGATAATTCAAAAATTAGGCAAGGCAGAGTTAAGGTTCTTGTTCACTGCACACCTACTCAATGAGATCTATATACCTTCAAAGTTTCATGTTGATACCTCTTATACTTTTAGAGTTATGTCCCGGACAAAGTTCAAAGTGTAAAATAAACAAAGGGGATAATTCAAAAATTAGACAAGGCAGAGTTACGGTTCTTGTGCACTGCATACCTACTCAATGAGAACTATCTACCTACAAAGTTTCATGTTGATACCTCTTATACTTTTAGAGTTATGTCCCGGACAAATTTCAAAGTGTAAAATAAACAAAGGGGGATAATTCAAAAATTAGGCAAGGCAGAGTTACAGTTCTTGTGCACTGCACACCTACTCAATGAGATCTATCTACCTACAAAGTTTCATGTTGATACCTCTTATACTTTTAGAGTTATGTCCCGGACAAATTTCAAAGTGTAAAATAAACAAAGGGGGGTAATTCAAAAATTAGGCAAGGCAGAGTTACGGTTCTTGTGCACTGCACACCTACTCAATGAGATCTATCTACCTACAAAGTTTCATGTTGATACCTCTTTTTCTTTTAGAGTTATGTTCCCGGACAAAGTTCAAAAGTGTAAAATAAACAAAGGGGGATAATTCAAAAATTAGGCAAGGCAGAGTTACGGTTCTTGTGCACTGCACACCTACTCAATGAGATCTATCTACCTACAAAGTTTCATGTTGATACCTCTTATACTTTTAGAGTTATGTCCCGGACAAAAGTTCCAAAGTGTAAAAATAAACAAAGGGGTATAATTCAAAAATTAGGCAAGGCAGAGTTACGGTTCTTGTGCACTGCACACCTACTCAATGAGATCTATCTACCTACAAAGTTTCATGTTGATACCTCTTGTTGTTTCAAAGTTATGTCCCGGACAAGAAAAGGGGACGGACGGACGGACGGAAAGACGGACGGACGGACAAGGCGGCGACTATAAGCTCCCCCGAAATTTTTTCGGGGAGCATAAAAATAAAATTTATTCAAGCCGCAAGCAACAAAACAATGAAAATAATATTAACTTTTCAATTACAAATTCTCTTTTAAAGTCTTCCATTTTTCTCTAAGTAATTGTTAAATAGTCTCATTAGAGAATATATTGTCAATACTGTTATAAGATAGCTGCCAAACATCGTCAGATGATAACTCACGGTGCCTAATCGTTTCCGGCTGATTTGGAATATTTCCCCGTTCCTGATCAGTTCAGGAACGGGGAAATATTCCAAATCAGCCCGAAACGATTACGCACCATGTAACTGGAAGGTATCTGCTGCTATGCTGTACTCTTCAGTAATGGAGGTAGAAAACACACCTTTATCATCTGTCTGAAATAAATGTGTAAAAAACAACTAAACTGCTATTCTTTACACATATGCATTTATACTTAACAAAATACATGTAGGTGGTTTGGCACTTGACTGTGGCGTGCTCATTTTTCGTGTGATTTTTCTGCTTGTTGATTAAAAGGAGGGCTGACCCTTCAAGTACAGGTCCCTAACAATCTACAAATCATCCATTCAAGTGAATCTAGTTGTCATTAGTTTTTATAATACTGCATGTTTATAAAGTTGCTTTTTGTTGGATCATCTTGATGTTTATATCACTATTCACACAGCTGTTGTTAAGTTACAAAGCAATTTCATTTTTATCTTTACAGGTGAAGATTGCAGTATTACAAATTTTTCATAAAGGTTCTTGACAGGACTTATGGCCATATATAAACAATAATTTGCAATATAACCCAAGCCATTATTTACAGACAACTGTTATATTTTGTTAGTACAATAGCTCTCCCCTATTTTCTTTGAATAGTCGAGCCAAAATCCATCTATAACAAAATTTTACGAGCAGCATTTTTTAATGTGATTTTCAAACATTTCTAACAGACATAGTCATATCTACAGATCACTCAGATCACTAAATTATGCAGACATTACTTAATGGAATTCTAATTCAATACCTAATGGAATTTTAATTCATTACCTAATGGAATTCTTAGTATAATGACTTTCAACAAACTCTACAATATCTTTCGTCCCACCAGCATCAGGCTGTAAACATGTTCCATGTCCTATTCTATCTGATATAATTTCTTTTAACAAGGTAATAGTTTCTTCTGGTGCTGGAACCAAAAAATTCAAAATAAGTAACATTTAATTCAGTAGTTTAGTTAAAACATAAACTGTATTATTTAAGCTTGATTGCAAAACAAGTGCTAGCAAATTATATTTACCACTTTTGAGTGAGTCCGCTTTCTGGAACTACATATGAAGTACAGGTGACACATGAGGAAACAAGAGTGTAACCCAAGTAGGCTCGAACTCAAGTTCCATAGGTGGAAAGGCAGCCATCTTAATCATTCGGCAACCACTCCCTTTTATTACATTATATGAATGTATCAAAAATAGCTCTTTCCATGTAGTATTGTACACAGTGTTTTGATTATCATATTAAGTTCTTTATACTGCTGTTAAGTCAACAATTATAACAATAATATGTATTCATTATACCCAAATTAATGAAACAAATTCAACAAAAAAAAACACATTTTTGTATCTATCAAAATCATCTTTCATTTTCACTACAGCTAAAACCAAAGTGATGACAGTAACCGTGCTTCAATGTACAATTTTGTCACACGTAAGTAAGAAACATTGCTAGACTGAAAGGAAATGCAGAAGAATCTATTTAAAGCCTGTATCAGTTCATATGTTTGACTGAAGCATCCCAGAGGCAGAGCTGTAGAGACAATTAACCAATATTTTAGGCAGAACATAAAATAGAGTGAAATAAGAATCCCTAAACAAAGCTCAATGCAGCAAAACTGAAAATGTTGCAGACTCGGTTTGATTGAGCCTGTTCATGGACGGTACTGTCAAGTGCAAATTACTGTCCATGCCCCCTAGCACCGGCTTAAGCAGAATTCAACAATTGACATGAATAGTTACTGGAAAATTTTTGAAACATCTGCATAAGTCTCTTTTTTACTCTCATTCACTATAGATAAGTACGGACTGACAAGAATCATGAATAATTAATTGATAAATTGACAATAATATTTACTTTCAGTAAATATACTTCACATTCCATTCAACTACTGGTAACTTATTTTTCCTAGACGATTTAAATATACTATTGGCCAAAGGATCCATTCAACAGAATCAGCGGTAAAATTGGCCTGTCAATTAACATTTAAATTAAGATAATTTGATTTTAAATCAATCAAATAGAAACCCATGATTCACCTTAAGCAAGATGAAGTGCTAACTTTAAACCATGTTTCTGTGCCTCCTTAAATGCTGGAATGAAAATATCTGTATTACCAACCTAAAAAGAGAATGTAAATGAGAACCTGCAAGAATGAAGAAATTTTACAGTGTCATAATGTGAGTTATCACCAGCAGAGAGAAGGGCGTCCATGGGCGAGTGGTTAAGGTCGTTGACTTCAAACCACTTGCCCCTCACCGCTGTGGGTTCGAATCTCGATAGGGACTTTGAATTCTTTCATGTAAGGAAGCTATCCAGCTAGCTTACAGAACGTCGGTGGTTCTACTCAGGTGCCCGTTCGTTCCTGAAATAATGCTTGGAAGGGCACCCGAGGTTTCCCTCCACCAGTAAAGCTGGAACATCACCATATGACCTATAATGTGTCGGTGTGACTTAAAACCCAATCAACCAAACCAATTAAGCCTTGGTAAATTATACTTTACACAAAATTTATAAACTTATGTATTTTTAAATACATGTATATGTAATTATAAGTACATGTATGTTAGCTATTACATTAATCTTTAATCTACATAATTTCCCGAAAGTAATGGTCAATTGTCCATTTTAAAACAGTCTATTGTCAACTTTTTGAAAATACCAAGATAACTGTTAGAAAAATGGTCAAACAAATAGTATAGAGTTTGGTCTAAGTTCAAAAATGTGTAGTATGGTCTAGCTCTATATAAGTGGCATTGAAGTTTCCTTTCAGTATGTTTTAGGATTAAAATATTTATCACAACACATGACCTATATGATGTAAACACCTTGTCCTGTTGTCAAAACTTTAATTTCGTAGCAACCTTTTCAGCAGAAATATGCCAGACCTGTCTGTAATCTAACTATGCTGTGTATAATGATGGCAGACAAACTTTCAAATTTTCAATGTGATATCCCTGGAATTAATATTTGAGCCGCGCCATGACAAAACCAACATAATGGGTTTGCGACCAGCATGGATCCAGACCAGCCTGCGCATCCACGCAGTCTGATCAGGATCCATGCTGTTCCCTATCAGTTTCTCCACTTGTAAAAGAGTTAGTAAGCGAACAGCATGGATCCTGATCAGACTGAGCTGATGCGCAGGCTGGTCTGGATCCATGCTGGTCGCAAACCCACTATGTTGGTTTTGTCGTGACGCGGCTCATTTAATTGTTTCAAAATGGATGCTTGTCAAGCCTTTCTTAAACATTTATCAGTATAAATGTTAAATGCTGTTTTCAAAATAAAACAATAATTTTTTATTATTGACTTACATGTGGATCTCCACTTAGATCAATACCAACTATAATACCATTGCTCATCTCCCTAAAATCATGAAAAAATACATGTTAACTCCATATAACCTAAACTTCTAAAAATAAAACTTATAATATGAATACTGCCATTATAAAATAGAGAATATAAGAACTCCTAAAAAAAGCCCAACACAGCAAAATTGAAAATGTTACAGAATAAGTTTGATTGAGCCTCACAAGTTCATGGACGGTACTGTCAAGTGCAAACTACCGTCCACGCCCCCTAGCACCGGCTTAAGCAGAATTCAACATTTAACATGAACTGGTACAATTTTGAATTTTGAAACATTCGCAGATGATTTCAAACTGGAACAGTCAATTATTTCTGATTTCATAAATCATCTTTATAATGGAAACATAGGCACACATTTTTTTTTCATATGAAGTCAAAGGGTTAACAAGCAGTATTGTTTATAGTCTTCCTCACACATCACAGGAAAAAATATTGATGGAGTATTTGACTGCTGGTTTTTAATAAAGCGTGTAAAATAAAAGAATTATGGAACTGTTTTGTTTATTGCATAGCTCATATTGCTAAATTTTCTTTAGGCAATTTCATTTTCTTTTCAAACAAAACTATACCTATATTTCACTTCCAGTTAAACAGTATCCATGTAGACACCTGTAGACTCTGTCTTCTGTCAACAGCCAGGAGAAATTTAACAATAATGTCTAAATTTTCCTTTGCACAGCCATCTACATGTATTGCTAGTAAAACAGTCTCAACATATTAAATTGTTGTCATTCTAGTTAATGGTCTTCTCTAGATGTTGTTCTTAGCTCTATATACTTCACATTCTCCTCTGCAAACTCATTTACATGTGTATTACCTGAAACATACACCATAAGTTACCTGTAACATACATCATATGTAACCTGAAACATACATCATATGTAACCTGAAACATACATCATATGTAACCTGAAACATACATCATATGTTACCTGTAACATACATCATATGTAACCTGAAACATACATCATACCTAACCTGAAACATACATCATATGTTACCTGAAACATACATCATATGTTACCTGTAACATACATCATATGTAACCTGAAACATACATCATACGTTACCTGTAACATACATCATATGTTACCTGAAACATACATCATATATTACCTGAAACATACATCATATGTTACCTGTAACATACATCATATGTTACCTGAAACATACATCATATGTTACCTGAAACATACATCATACCTAACCTGAAACATACATCATATGTTACCTGTTACCTGAAACATACACCATATGTTACCTGTTACCTGAAACATACACCATATGTTACCTGTTACCTGAAACATACACCATATATTACCTAAAACATACATCATATGTTACCTGGAATATACACCATATATTACCTGGAACACACACTATATATTACCTGAAACATACATCATATGTTACCTGAAACATATCAGATAATTTAAAAGACTTACTCTCATTATTTATAACATCATGAATCTGTCTGAATAACTTGAACACCCTGAAAAAGAACACAAACCTATCATATACATGTATGCATCATTTTGAATTTGAATTAAGTGAAATGATGACAATAAAAACGTTAATAACAAAATCTGCCAATACCCTAGTGCAAACACTCTTCCCATTCTAAGTCTTTTATCTGACAAAATAGAGATGTGATTAATTACTGATAATTTTCATTTCATTTTTTAATAATTTGTTTAATTTATTTACTAACATTATGAGTTTAAACTTACTCTTTCAATGTTCCAGTTTCACCTTTTTTTAATTTAAGGGAGTCTGGTTTATATGATGTAGACATGCCTGCCACAAGCTGACCCATTGTTAATTCACTAATTGAACCATTCATATGGGCATGAAGCTCCTGTAAAATATTGTAGGAATAAACATGGAAAAATATACTAGACTATTCACTATTGTTTTTTTTTTCAGGTGGGTTTTACATTGCACCAACACAATGTAGTTCACATGACAACTTTCCAGCTTTACTGGTGGAGGAAGACCTCATGTTTCCTTTCAATCATTATTTCAGGCACAAACTGGCACCTGAGTAAAAACACTACCTTCTGTAAGCTAGCTGTATAGCTTCTTCACCTGAAAGAATCCAAGTCCTTGTCAGGATTCTTACCCACAATAGTGAAGGGCAGCCAAGCAGTTTGAAGTCAATGACCTTAACCACTCAGCCATAGACACACCAACTATTCTATTATAATTGCTTAAAGGGACCTTCAACAACAATAGCAACTGTATAACAGACATGCCAGATAAAACAATGCTTGTAAACTGACTCTCATTGGCTCCACTCCCATACAAACATGTACCCATATATATGTATATTTATAATACTGCATGATTGTAACGTCGCTTTTCATTGGATAATCATGATGTTCATATAGTTTTTAATACACGGCTGCTGTGGTAATATAAAGAAAACTCACTTAATTTAGCTAAAACTGATGCTTGCTGTATTATAAATTCGTTATAAATATTTCTGACAGGTTATATGGCCGTATATATACGGTTATTTGCAATATAAGGCGAGGGAACCCTCGCCTAGCTGCTCGAGTTATATTACAAACAACCATTTATATAGGCCTATGTAACCTTTCAAAGACCTTTATAACTAACAATATACACATGTATATAATAAAATCAAATTATAAGCACTAAGCAGGAAGAATCGGAAAAAAACCTTACTCTAATAATAACGAGAAATTCTTCAGGAACACAATAAAACGATAAATCAAATTTAAGTGGCTATAGCATTTAACAGGGAAGCCTTCATTAGATACATTAGATCAATTTCCTATTTGAATCGAAAAAAACAACAACTCTAAAACAATTATAATAACAACAACTAAGAAACTGTTCAGGAACAAATAAATTTTGATTTTTGAGCACTGCTAGGCGGAGCATTATATGCCCGAAACTGTTTTTTTTAGTAAGGATGAAGCATTTGTAAGACATGGAAATTAGCTGTTCATCTTTTAAAATTTTACAGCTGTAGGTTGATTAATACTTAAGTTATTGAGCGGTAACTGTTTCCAGTTTTGAGGTAATAGTGACCTTGACCTTTGACCTAGTGACCCCAAAATCAATAGGGGTCTTCTACCCAATATGGACAATCATCCTATGAAGTCTGAATATTGTGGGCCAAATGGAACTAAGTTATGCTCCGGAAACCAAATTGCTAACAGACGGATGGAGGGACGGACATACTCACAAAATGGTACTTATGTGACTTTTCCTTTGATCTTTTTGGCCATTTTTAGTCACACAAGGCTTATAAAAAGACACACAAGTAAAAAGGGAATGAATAGGATCAAAGAGAATTTACTGTTACCCATTGTTCTCCAAGTCACACAAGTACCTCTAGGTTCGTACGGACGGACAGACAGACGGGCGCCAGGGGGTATAACATAATATGCCCTTTTGGGCATATAAAAATGGTTATAAAAATTTAACAGCATAGTTTCTATCAGGATTTTTCTTTTTTACACTTTTTAAACTGTACCTTAAAAAAAACTAAAAAAAAAAAAATGTTAAAAAGATAAATTAAATAAAACATTTAGCTTACACTTTTGGAAATCCTCATCCATTTTCTTTCACAAATCAAAACTGAAAAAGACATCTATTAATTTTGTGTGTCACTAAGTAAACCTCTTAAAAATTGTTGCTATAATGATCTTCAGCATACTATGAATAAATTGGAAGGCTTATATCAGAACCTCTTACTTGTAAACATGTTACTAGTATTTAAAAAGATGTCTGCAGAAACTTTTTCTCTTATGACCTGAAAATGAGTGTGGCGCATAGAACTTATCAAGGTTCATCCACATATCAAGTTTAAAGATTTTTTCCAAATCTTTAAAAGAAATTCCAAATTGAACTGAAATTCTCAATATCAAAACTGATATTCCAGTATAGTATCAGACAGATGTTTCTGCACATGTAATTGTCAAATTTTAATGTACCTTTTATGCTTTGAATGATATTTGTATTGATTGGAATAAACAATTTTGCACAATTCAAAATACTATGCCAAAAGAGCATAAGGAATAATTAAGGAGGTTTGTGTCATTTCTCTGCTTCTTTGGTATCAATGTTTGGCAATGATTCAGAAATCTTTGTCATTTTATACAATAATCTCCTTTAAAACATTAGGAATGCTATAAATTTCATTAAGTTTTCTCATTATATCTCTGACCAGAGATGTAGATTACATCTATGTCTCTGCTCTGACATTAAAATCTTCTGTCTAAGGATGCAAGTGTTCAGTTTTTTCCCCATGTTATTATTATTGTGTGACACTGTACATGCATCTGAGACATATGAGCCGCGTCACGACAAAACCAACATAATGCGTTTGCGACCAGCATGGATCCAGACCAGCCTGCGCATTGGCTATCAGTTTCTCTACTTGTAAAAGTGTTTGTAAGCGAATAGCAGACTGCGCGGATGTGCAGGCTGGTCTGAATCCATGCTCGTCACAAAAGCATTACAATGGTTTTGTTGAAACGCGGCTATATACTTTTTGTCCCAGGTTCAATATATACAGTACACTTCTTACCACTGTGACATAATTTCATCATCATAATATTGTGCAACAGCTTTTTCTTGAAGTCACGAAAACCTTCTTGTTAACAGTTGTTAAGGTTTTATGAGGGTCCATTTTCTAAGAAACTATCAATGCTGTTCACTTCACACTTGATATACCTAATTGTTCACTGTATTAATGTTACACCATTTCAAAAGGAAGACGATTTTAATTTAACTGTAACATTTTGCAATGTTTTGCACTTTTCTTTTGCTCTGGTTAACCTTTTTTGAAGTCCACTTTCTAAAAAAAAAAATTATTCACTTCTTATTGGGAATATTTGACTATATTCACTATCAACATTAGAAATACATTTAAGAAGGCAGTTGAGAATGTAATTATCCATTTTTGCTCAGTTATGCCCCTTTTTTGCTTTCAATATTTCGTTGCTTTTTTTAAAAAAAAACTATAAAAAATATTCAATTTAAACTTGAAATATGTCGTTAAAGATTTGTTCTTCTGCCAGAATGTGACTATTGATAAATTATGCACCCGTTTCTACTTGCTTTATACTATCCAGCATTGTATAGTCTACAGACAAGTCTTGTTTATTTGGTGACTTCAAAAATAAGGCAACAAATACTTAAAGAGCAAAATACAATACCTTAAAAACATGTAGCATGTTAGTCTCCGCTGCTCTAACCAAATTTCTGTAGAAAATTGGCATACATTTGATAAAGAAGCAGCCATTCTTTCTAGCTACATGCATCATAATATAAAATTACAATACTTCAAAACCATTGTTTGTATTTTAGTTAAGAAAAAAATTCACTGGATTTCATAAAACTGTTTTGTTTAATAAAGCAGATAAAAATCACAGAACGAAACTGGAAAAGCTCTGAACAAATGTAAAAAAGGAGAATAAATGCATTCATCAATACCAAATTAAGATAAATTATTAATATCACAGATTTGAGAGTGGCACTTGTCCCTAACAAGAGGGCCATGATGGCCCTAGATCACTCACCTGACCAATCAAACTCATCCGAACAATTACCTGGACAAACATTCTGACCAAGTTAATATGTATATGTAAATATTTTTTAAATAAATATTTCATTAATTTATTTTTTAAAGTTAAATTCATCCCATGATAAACATATAAATATATTTTGAACATTGTTCAACATGTTTGGTGTGACTGCCCAATCGAACTCAACCAATTACATTATGCATGAATATCGATTAACACAGCATAACGTTAATACCTAATTAAATCACTGGGATAATAATTCTGAATATGAAATACTCGATGAACAGATGTACTAACAAACAATTATATTGACGCATTTATCATTCGACCGATGTAAGCTAGGAAAACCTTTAGGCATAATTATGATCAACGTAATAATAGTTCAACCTCGGTTGGCTCGAACTACTGATCTCTCGAACAAATTTGCACAGGCCCTCCGAGTTTGAGCGAACGAAGTTAGACTGTACATGTATATCTAAAAAATATTCTGAAAAGCTTCTATTGCAGAGTGATTACTGTCACATACTTTAAATCTGTTGACCTCACTGATGCAACTCTGAAATTTCTTTCACATGCTTTGCCTATGGTTCAAAAATGGCATTTATTTGCAGACAGATACATACTGATACACACATGTAAATATTGCATAAACATCTGTATCTTTTGTATTAACAATACATTCGCTGTCTTACTTTTTCAAGTTAAGTCTAGCTATACAGAAGGTTGGTTAGGATCTATGCCAGTGGCTTAGGTCAGTGTTCTGTTTTTTAAATATTATACAGATTTTAGTCATGTAGCATCAAAATAAGTATATCTATGTACTTACCACTCAAGCCATAGCATTGCCAGTCCAGGAAAAGTTCCAATAATTCAGTCAAGTGATCACTGACCAACTGGAAACATTTGGTTCCTAGCATAGACAAGAAGTCCACACAACTGACAGGGTTGCCTCTCAGCCTCTGTATTGACTCTTGTATGGCTAGACTAGTATTACTTTGGGAACGAGTGATGAAATTGATCTAAAGGATCCCTTATCTAGGTGTTGTAAAAATTGTAAATGTTAAAAAAAGGTAATTTCTTGGCCTATTGTATAGCCAATATTTGAAAAAAAAGTTGAAATGCGATACTCTTTTTTTCAAATATGTTTGATAGAATAAATTTATCATATGATAACATTTGTGGCAAAGGCAATTTTTGTTCTCTAAATTTGAGAGCTACAGCCCAGTGGTGGCGGGATGAAACTGTCTTGTTGTCGTGCTGTTTTGCTGACTGGTCGTCGCAGTCTCTCATTAACTCTTCCAGCTAACATAGGCCAGGCTGATGGTGTCTGAGACTCCGGGAAGAAAAAAGTTTAAATATCTCTTGACAATCTCTTTCTTGGACGGTTCGAGCTCTTCTTTACCATGAAACCCATTCCAGTTATATTTCAGTCGCAGATTGTCGGGCCCAAACAGTTCCGGAAAAAATTACCTCTACTAACTTACAGGTGAAGTGCCCTGATCCCTTGGACTATAGAAATAATGTCTTTACAACTTCGTCCGTCAAAAAGTCTGACTGGGGCACAGACTGGATTGCCTCTGGATTTATGTTGCTACCACCACTCGACGACACAGACAATTGTCTTGAGGCTAGACCGTCCACCTTACACTCAAGTCTAGTGACTTGTCCTGAAATGTCAGACACACGTTTAGAAACACTCACTAAAGTCATACATGCCATAACGTCCCGGATGCCCGGGATTGTCCCGGAAATCGGATGTCTGTCCCGGAGATGTCCCGGGCATCGATTTGATCCCGGAAAAAAAAAATCATGATATTTTGCAAAATTTTCATAAATCAAATCTCGTACATTTCAACTCTCGATCAAAACATATCCAGACCTACACATAATACACAGGGACGTTGACACTTACAAGTTTACAATATACAGCCCCCCAATTATCGACTATCGATTCCCCTCGGCAATAGGTTACTTCATGCATCGGCAATTAACGTTCTCTGTTGAATTCGGCAGCGTTTAATGGTCGGGTTAATTAATGGTTTACGGCCCTTAACAATTATCGTTAATCCCCGATAATTATTAATTTTTAGATCAATTGCGTACTTACCGAAAGTCTAATTATTTCAAACAATGTAAATATATCCATGAAATAAAAAAATTAAAAGGTGTCAATGTCGACACACTTGGTTCCTCGTGTATTTATTACACATCTTTTAGCTAAAAAAACAACACTTATACGTTCAAAGAAACGCAGAAAAATGAGTAAATACCATTGTCTGACATATAATATTTTACGTCCTGTACAAGGTTCATACCTTGGTTTTACTCTAAGTGTAACAAGTCAATCTGTGAATAATGACAAAACGTAAAGGGGATTCCCTGGGAAATCCAGAGAAAAAAAACTAAACGCACCTGCCGGTATCAAGACAGTTGGGCTAAGGAATTTAATTTTGTCTCAGCAAGTAAAAAGGGACAGGAATATGTCCGCTGTACAGCATGCAATATTGACGTTTCTGTCGCCAGTGGGGGAAGAAATGATCTTACTCGCCACATCAACAGCAAGATTCACAATTCGAACATCCAAACTGTAAATTCAACACAGAAAATCAACAACTCATTCTTTAAGCCGGCGTCATACGACCCAGTTGCTCGCGCTGAGGTGTACTTTGCTGCCTTTATCGCAGAACATAATCTGTCATTCTCTGTAGCCGACCACTTTACGGACTTGGTGAAAGTTATGTTTCCGGACAGTGACATTGCCAAGAAATTCAAATGTCGTCGGACTAAGACTACAAATATAGTGACAAAAGCCCTAGCTCCGGTGGCGGAAAAGAAAGTTACAAAATTATGTAGAGAGAACAAGTTTAGTGTGCTCATGGACGAAAGCAATGACCAAGGAGATAAAAAGTGTGTTGCCATTTTGGTACGCGTGTATGACACTGATGTCTTTAAAGTTATGACTTACTTTTTGGCAATGCCAGTGTGTAATATTGGCACGGGTGAAAATTTATTCACGTGTCTTCAAGAAGTCTTTACAGAGCGTAGCATCCCCTGGCAGAATATGATCGGTTATTCTAGTGACAATGCCCCAGTGATGATCGGTGCTAACAATTCAGTGTTGTCAAGAGTGCGGGAGCAACAACCAAATGTAGTGAACATTGGATGTGTGTGTCACATAATGTCAACGTGCACTCAATATGCCGTCAAGAAGTTAGCCATGCCAGTTGAAGAGGTGCTACAAGACACATTCACACACTTTCAACATAGCTCCAAAAGACGACAAATACTCCAAGATTTCCGCGAATTCACGGACACTACTACTTATAAGCTTGTTAGGCACTGCAGCACCCGCTGGTTGTCCTTACAAACGTGTGTCGACCGATACTTACAGCAGTGGCCAGCGCTAGAGGCCTACTTCACTAGTCATGATGACGCAGAGAAACGGGGTAGCCGGGTTTTTCGTGTAGTTGAATGTCTGCAGGACCCACTACTCGCCCTCATCTTCAGATTCCTGTCCTTCATCCTTGTACCACTGAATGACTTCAACACTACATTCCAGGTTAATTATTAGTGCTGTTATAAATATCCGTTGATAATGATTTTTTATAAATAGTTTTCATTTTATTTCAAAGATATATAAAAGAAATACATATAACGAATAAACAAATGAAAACTTATGAAACAAAATGAACATCTTAATTTGTTTATTTCAGAACGGTGATTCTATGGCTGGGCATATGCATTCAGAGCTGGTGCGTGTTATTCGCACATTCATGGCCAAGTTCGTGAAGATGGAAACAATCACTGCTGCTGCTGACGTCACAATGGTAGATTTTAAGATGCGCACCAACCAACATGACGAGGAGCTTCTTGCTGTCGGAATGAAAGCTCGTGGTTACCTAGACAATAATGACGTCAATCCACAGATAAAAGCACAATTCTTTAGGTAATCTAGCAGAAATATAACTCCGTAACAGAAATATTGTGCTATTCATGTACACATTCTTACTGAATATTGTGTAACAAACAAATCGTCGCTAACAATTGATTAACTATAGCAAATGAATTTTATTTATAAAGAAAGGCTTTTTATTCTAATACTCATTTATATCATAACATTTCAGATAATTATGTTTATTTCATCTTTTGCAGCAAAGTTCGCGCATTCTATGTTGAGATGACCGAGAAAATGATTGCGAAATTCCCACTTAATGATCCAGTCCTCAAGTGTCTTTCCTTCCTACGTCCAGAATTCAGAGAGACAACGCCCGCTTCATCTGGTGAGTAAATAACTGGAAATAAAGTAGACACAAGATAATGTTCTATGTATTTGAATTAATAAAAAAATAAACACTTGAAGCATTTAATCCGATAGAAATGAAAGAAGCAACAATAAAATAAAATAAGTAAGGGTCTAATCATTTTTCATAACATTCTTTGTCCGTGATTTATGGGTAAAATGACTTAATTAATGATATAATACGTAAAATCTTATACTTTCAGTTGCCCAACTCGCATGTCGCCTGGGTATGGGAAACCCAGATAGTGTGGAAGAGGAATTCGTGGACTACCAACTCATGGCGATCGAGTCTCTTCCTGCGTATGAACAGGGGATGTCACTGGACCCATATTGGGTAGCATTAGAGAAACATAAAACTCCACTCCAAAAACCAAGGTTTCCCACCCTTGTTCCGTTAGCGTTCGCCGCTCTTTCACTTCCCCATTCCAATGCCGACCCGGAGCGTTGCTTCAGCACCCTGAAAAAGATCCAGAGAGATGACAGAGAGAATCTGTCCATGAATACAATTCAGTCATTACTGTCATTAAAAATGAATATGAACACTGTCTGCTTTAAGCACAATATCACATCAGACATGTGTGCTGAAGCCAGAAAAGTTTGTAATTGTTAAGTACACGAACTCTATGTGCTGTCATACTTGACCTTGACGCTGGTGTCAAGTCATTTAAATGTTGGAGTATCATGTGATATAGAATAGATGAGTTTAGGTTGTATTGTTTGTAACTGTGTTAAATTATTTTATTATATTGATATCTGATTAAAGTGAAATAAATTACCTTGCTGTGTTTGTTTTGATGACTGGAAGAATTGCGTTTACATGTAGTAATTATCACGACTTTAAGATATAACGGGTGAACAACATGGCTGCGCCCATATGTAGTAATTATCACGACTTTAAGATATAACGGGTGAACAACATGGCTGCGCCCATTCACCGGGTTCATAAGTTACAACTTACTTGCTTTTAGGGAATATTAAATGAAATAATGAAATAGTATAAAATGATAAAGATGTTAACCTAAAAGACTACTTCTAAAACTAGTAAGTTAACTGTTTATCATTAGAATTCAGGAGAAAGTTGTCCTAATTTAATAACGTTATACGTTTGACCCCCCCCCCCTTTTTCCACAACAGCCTCCTCATCCATTATCGCCGCGATGAAAAGTGTCCCGGAAAGCTGTCCAAAAATTATGGCATGTATGACTAAAGTCCTCTCCATGTCACCCATCTTTTTCATCATTTGTAGCATAACCTACTGGATTGATGTCATTGACGGCTGATTTCTCGTGGAACGAAACGTCAACATGGACGGTGACCCTGTTTCTGACGGAATCATCTGTTGTTTTGACGGCGTTTCTGATTTTGTTCCTGAGTTATCATCACTAACCTGATTCTGACAGTCTACGCTGGATGTCTTTGTCGTTTCGTCGTTAACTGACCCCACCTCATATGTCTCAGCGTCTTTGTCAGCGATAGTACCCTCGTCAGCGATAGTAAGCTCAGTTGACTCACATACAGGTGTTGATTTCTGAAGAACCTGGGCTTTGGGTTTCACGCTTTTTTTGACGGGTTCTTTCTGCAAATTGATATGAAATGCATGTAATTTAATGAAAGTTAAGTATTACATTATCATGTAAGCAACAGAATTGGATTAAAAACTGGGGGAGGCTTTATTATACTTATAATATTAATGCTTTAATTGTCATTAATTACGTGTTACGTAGTAATTACTTTGACGTAACGTCATTTGCGCTATATATAATCATAGCGTTAAAGGGCGCTAATGTTAGCGTTACACTATAGGAATATCATTAAAATACTCTTTTTACAGTTTACCGTTCTTATTTTATATAAGTGATAAATAGAATATCATATTTATATAGATTCAATATTAAATTAATTGAATTTAATATGAAAATAATCATGGATATTCTACAAGTCTACAGTCATAGAATTGTCATCTGCCATGTATATAATATGCAAGGTACAACTTCTGTGACAATACACTGCAAATATTACATGTTGTCAAATAATATACATAGGGTATTGCCACATGTCATAAGGGTATTGTGAATATGTTACAGAAGCTGTGTATTAACAGCGTGTCAAAACATAAAAGATATATATAAAACATCTGAATAATAGTAAAATCATCAGGGGCCTCCGTGGCCGAGTGGTTAAGGTCGTTGACTTGAGATCACAGGTCCCTCACCACTGTAGGTTCGATCCTCACTCGGATCGAAATCTTTCATGTGAGGAAGCCATCCAGCTGGCTTACGGAAGGTCGGTGGTTCTACCCAGGTGCCCGCTCGTGCCTGAAATAATGCTCGAAGGGGCACTTGGGGTCTTCCTCCATCAATAAAGCTGGAAAAAAATCGACAAAAAAAATCTCGGCGGGACGCTCTAGGATGGCCCGACTTGAGTGTACGGTCGCCCATATGGACTTTCCGGCGGCGACCTTAAATAAACGCATTAAAAAAAAAAAAAAAATAGTAAAATCATCATAACACCGTTATACATTGTTATTAAACATGGTTAAAGTAGACAAAAAAATAAAAATTGATATAATAGAACTTCACAAAGTCGGATTCTCTACTTATAGAATTATTAAAATGCTACAGACAAGAGGTATCACAGTAGCAAAAACTAAAGTAAGTTACTGGGTGAAAGCTTATATCAGTGGAAAACTAGACATTGAAAGAACTGATTATCAGGAATCTAAAGGATATTTTAACGTTGTTTCTGTGGATGATGCCAACTACATAAAACAAACACTCGAATCGGATCCTAATGTATCAAGTTCTACAGTTTATCGTTCACTTAAAGAAAATGGCGCGAATTGTTCACATTCTACAGTTAAACGCGCCATTAAAGCAGTGGGCTACGTTTGTTCAACTCCAAGATATGCTCAAATGGTTCGAGATGCCAATAAACCAAAACGAGTAGAATTCTGCAGTAACTTACTAGGTATACAAGAGCCCGGTTTGAGTCGGGTGATGCTCCCCCAATAGGTTTTGAACACAGGAAAGTACACCTCTTGTAGTTTCAGAGTTACTTCCATGGAAAAAGTTCAAAGTGCAATAATTCCAAAATTAGGAAAGGCAGAGTTACTGTTCTTTGCACTGCACTTCTAATCACTGTTATCTATCAACTTACCAAGTTTCTTGTTGATATCTCTTATGGTTTCCGAGTTATGTTCCGGACAACTTCAAAAAGTAAAAATAAACAAAGGGCAATAACTCCAGAATTAGGCAAAACAGAGTTATGATTCTCGTGCACTGCACATCTACCCATTGAGATACATCTACCTACAAAGTTTCATGTTGATATCTCTTATAGTTTTACAGCTATGTCCAGTACAAGATTTTTCTTAAAGGGGAGATAATTCAAAAATGAGGCTTAACAGTTATGTTTTTTTTGCACTGCACTTCTACTCAATGAGATCTATCTACCTACAATGTTTCATCTTGATATCTCTTATAATTTTAGAGTTATGTTCCAGACAAAGTTCACTGTTAAATTAACTAAGGGCAATAACTCCAAAATCAAGACAAAAAGAGTTATTGTACTTATGCACTGCACATCTACCCATTGAGATCTATTCACCTACAAAGTTTCATGTTGATATCTCTTATAGTTTTAGAGTTATGCCCCGGACAAGATTTTTCTATAAAAAGCGGGTATTTGGTTCACATAGATCTAGAGGAAAGTCAATTGTGCACTTCAGTGACTTGCTAAAAAATGACGTGGATATTAAGGCAAAGGCAGTAACGTACTTTAAGCAAAATTAAAATGTACCTTTTTCAGTGACTTCTGTGTTTGATCCATCAAACTTTTCATTTGTGGCTCACTTCCCGACCCAAGAATCTCTGCATAGGCCAACTGCCTGGAATTGCCCCACTGAACATCGTAGCACTGACCTACCTCAATCTGAAAACAATTAAAATTAAAGATGTTTGATGCCTGTTTAGAATTCAAAAACATGTTAATTAATTTATAAATTGATTAATTAAACAGTTTAATTTCGTCTTCATCTTTTATACATCTACATATATGGCGTTTCTTAAAATACGGCCACATAGGACTTACTTAGTGCCACTCGTGGAGGATAAAACCATTTAAAAGTATGTAAAATCCAGTTGTTTGCATGTGTGTTCGACCCGTTTGATCTCTTTGTTGATGTATTTCAAGCATAAATACCAGGTTACAATGTACATGTCATGACGGTCTCATCTTTCGGACCTGGATGATTTCTTAATTTCAGGCTTTATAACATTAACTTGCGGTTAATTGGGGATCTGTAAATAGTAAATTGTAATAGAAAAATATATTGTGCATTGATCCCATGCAAAAATCCGACGATATTACCGCCCGGTGAAAAATTTGGGTGGGAGTTGTTTCGTCGAACTACCAGTTCATCGAACTGATCTTATATAATAAAACAGGTAGTGGTTTCGGCGAACCTAATTTATATTGTAAACAATAGCCATTGTATAATGGGCACATCAATTATCGCGGGTCTTAATGTGTGGTTTATCACACATTTTCATGCAATTAATGATATAATATTGAAAATTTAAACCTATTATTTATTCTTTTCTTTAGCATAATAGTTATATTTACATAAAAGCATAACACAATACAAAAGATCTCAGTGAACAAACAACATCATAGAAATATATATATAAAAGTACAACCTGAAAAAAAACCCTAAAGAGTCAACATTTACACAAATTACTGTACAAAAATCATAGTTACTTAAAAATTATATTTTATTACGCTCACTCATCAAAAAATTGAATGTTAGGCATCAAAATTCAGCTCCTCACACAAATTATGGAAATTCCATTTTGTTCTAAACATAGAATAACCCTTAGTTATGAGGCCTCATATGGGGTACCTAAATTATCCATTAATTTGTATGAAGAGAAGTAGTTCCCGTACATAAAATAAAACCCATTGTGCCTATACAATGTTGTTATATCAGACCCATTTTTCATTTATGATTGTTGAAGAGATCATTTTCCCCGAGGAAGGTAAATACAATTCAGGATAAAGAGCGTAGATTTAACGAAGACCATGTATTACCCGGTACCGGTACCTCAACGCAAACAAATGCAATGACGTGCTTGTATGCGTGATATTTTACTCATTAAAGCCATAAAATTATTTAATATAGTAATATAGGTCAAAATTCTGATAATTAACCAGGTTTATGTCGCATTGCCTACTTATCTGTATGCAGGCAGTATAAGCAGAAAACCCTGTAATAGGCCTCACATGTAAGTATTGTTGCGCATGCGCGCTGAAACGGAATCCCCCAAAGTTAACAAGGTCACGTTTTGACAACGCACAGGTGAAAGTGATTTAAAATGAAAACTTTTTATATTATGTACTGCCGAACTGACACTTAGATTTTGTCTCGTTTATGCATCTGCTTGATTTGATATTAATTTTTGAAGAATGAAAGTAAAAATCAAGCGTTTAAACGAAAAATACGGGTACTGCTTCTGTACAGGAACTGCTCGCATGCAAGTACATTTCACACAAGTTTATTTTTGTAATCTATGTCAAACTATATACACAAATAGTTAATAAAATCGACATATATACACAGAAAGCTTGAAATTAAGTTATATGATTAGTTATCTGTCATCAATTATAAACAATTGATTTATTTCGTAAACCAAGCCCTAACTAAAAAATCATTATCAAAATAAGTATAATAAACATACTTTCGCACCTCTTCATAAATTAAGTTCGCCGAACCGGTAGTTCGACGAAACCACCATAATTCAAAAATTTTAACGCAGATAACCGGCGTACCCATAATTTTCGCACAGGTGCTCGTCCAGTCTTGGTGCCCATATAAAAAAAATGAAGTTTTAAAAAAAAAAAAAAAAAAAAAAATTTAAAAAAAAAAAAAAAAAAAAAAAAAAAAAAAAAAACATCAAAATAACTATTTTGGGTTGAGTGTAAGAAAAAAAAAATTTGAAAATTTTTTTTTTCCCTATATACGAATGTAGTAGATCTAATGGTATATAGGGAAAAAAAGATTTTTTTTCAAATTTTTTTTTTTCTTACACTCAACCCAAAATAGTTATTTTGATGTTTTTTTTTTTCAATTTTTTTTTTTTCAATATTTTTTTTAAAACTTCATTTTTTTTATATGGGCACCAAGACTGGACGAGCACCTGTGAATTTTCGTACCTGAATGTTGCATACCTTGTCTATAATAATACAGTATAGTCTAACAGTAAAAAAAAATATTTTTTAATTTTTTTTTTTAATATATTGATGTTTTAGTGCATAAATAACACGGTTAAACAAATTTTAGGTCAAATCAATGCCACTAGCACCTTTAACGCAAACGCTAGACTGCCTTCGCTACAAATGGTGTGAAAAAGTCTAAGGGCGACAATCAATGAAAAACAACTGAGAAACATAAAGTATTCTCATAATAAAACCAAGGAAATTCCTGCAAATGCGGCAGATCAGCTTATCTCAGTAGAAGAAATGACTAAGACACATGACTTTGTTTATAGTGTTAAACACCTTAGAGGAGTTAACCACCCTGTAATCACCTTATGCAGTGAACAACAAATTACAGACATTAAACGGTTCTGTGGAACAGGGAGAACTGTTTTAGGTGTCGATAAGACCTACAATTTAGGAGATTTTTACGTTACGCCAACCGTTTTTAAGGACCTTTCTGTTGTAAAACGAAGTACAGGGCAGCACCCCATATCCTTTGGCCCAACCTTTATACACACAAATTCGTCCGCAAAAACATACGCATCCTTTTTTCATGATATAGCAGATAACCTTACGGACGAAGAAATCAGAAATATGACCGTGGGTTCGGACGAAGAGAGAGCGTTTAAAGTAGCGATAAACAGGTGTCTGCCAGAGAGCACCCATATTCTCTGTACCAGAAACTTGCGTGAAAATACAAATAGGTATATGGAGGACTCTGTTGGGTATCCAAAATCTTCACGCCGGATTATCAGTGATGCAATTTATGGACTAGATGGACTAACCTCAGCGACGGATATTGACACTTATGAGTTTAGAGAACATAGAATAAAAGAACATATTGCTCAATTTGATAAAAATGTTGGTGATAAAAAATTTATGCCTTACTTTACTGAAATACTAGTACCAAAATTAAAAGCAGGTGTAATTGAGCCGTGTCGCAATGGAAAAGTGACCAGTGGGTGGACTAACAATAATTGTGAGTCCGCCAACCATATCCTGAAAAGCGCAGCAGAATGGAAACATTCTGATATTCCAAAATTTATTGAAATGTTCGCAGACATAGTGAGAAATGAAATCACTGAACGTTCACGGGCTATTAGAGGAACTGGCAATTATGACTTAGATACTATGTTCATGCATCACTGTGTAGACATAGACAAATGGGCAAACATGACCCAAGATTCTAGAGAGAATAGAGAGAAGAAATTCCGACAAGAAAAGGGAAAGCAAAATCCAAATATTAAAGTGTCGACAAACGGACTAAGAACTGTACTTAAAACGCCTTCTGCCGGTTAAAAACCATATCAACGAAGGAGAAAACGTGCTGAAAAATCCCGAACAACTAGTGCTAAACGTATGTTATTAACTGGTAATCATGAGTTAGATACTACGTTAATGCATCATCGTGTACACATAGACAAAACAGCAAACATGACACAAGATTCTAGAGATAAAAGAGGAAAGAAACTCCGACAAGAAAAGGGAAAGCAAAATCAAAATATTCTAGTGTCGACAAACGGACTAAAGACTGTTCTTAAAATGCCGTCTGCCGGTAAAAAATCATATCAACGTAGGAGAAAACTTGCCGAGAAATCCCAAACAACTAGTGCTAAACGTATCTTATTGGATAATGTTGAATGAGAACTTTAGCAGATAAAATTAAGCTGAAAACATCTCACTCAGAACAAAAGTGAATGTCATTTGACTGACTCTACAAGCATGTTAATAACTTTATAACATATGTATTATATTGTAATTGTTTTATGTATTTGAATAATCCTTATAAAATACATTCGTACAACCTACTTTTACATTGTACCGTAATATTTGGTTTTGTCAAATAATTATTTCTTAGCATTGTAATTATTGTTGATAATAGGGACCGTCAAAGGTTCGTTTTAGTATTAAAAGTGTAAGTCTTTCATATTAATAGCACATTTGTTATAAAACAATCATAATAATAATAATCATAATCATCGTCATCGTTATCATCACATATGTCATAATAATTATAATAATAATCATCATCAACATTATCATCACCACCACCATCACTTTAATTATTATAATGATAATTATCGTCATCAATATTATCACCAATATCATAATCAAAGCGCTGAAAGCACTGATGTATTCGCTGCGCATTATAAATGCATATGTGTCTTGCTAAAAACGTTGCAATTGTAAAGAATAAAGGAATATGGGCCACTGAATTACAGATTATTAATCTGATAGAGACATTAACACTGGTTGTTGAATAATATATTGAAAGAGGGATAGAAGTAAGAATAAACTAAATGAGAACAACTTTATTACATTATCTAAGTGGTACAATAAAATATACATCCAAAAATATGAATGCATGCAGTTCATTCATGACTAGATCCTTACATGATAGAGAATTATGATATAATGTTATATAATACAGTAACAATACCTAGAATACTATATTGCTACATAAGCTTCAAATGTAATGACAGACAGATTACCTAGCTAAAGCATTTCAGTTTTTCACATGATGAAAAGTGAAACTTGGAACATGTTAATTTCATGAAATTTAAGAAGAAAATATAGGTATTTTTGTAAAATACTTTAATTTTAAAAATTTCTGAGATTAAAAAAATACAAAAAAAGTACTTTTAATAGTTTGCGTATTATATTTTTAAATAGCCTGTAACAGTCAAAAATAAATTTTAAAATTCTGTTATTTACTTTTTTGCAAAGAAACATTACAAATG